AGCAAACTATAAAGCGATCTCATGGCATATTTAAAGTAACCACCAGTGCAATAGTTCAACAAAGAAGGAAGCACCTCGTAGCTTTTGGTGTTCTTAAAATGCATGGCTATAGCACATTGTAATTTATATCGCCTGAGTTCTTTTTCGTTTCGTAAATTTAATTTTTTATTTTCAGGTTGGTATGAATCTGCTAATTCTGCGTAGTCTCTAGGTTTCATTAAAACAGACAAGGAAGAAACAAAAGGTGATTTCATGTCAATGCATTCTTCATCACCCACTTTTGCTAAACTCAACTGAAATAATTTTTCATCTAGTTGCAAATGACTCAATTTTTTAATTTGTCTCCACAACTTGGAATGCTTTTTGGTGGGTTTTTCCGTCAATATTTTAAAGACGATCTCAAAATTGGCGACGATGGTAAGAGGATCGTATTTTAAAAACCACCGAATATCGGTGAGTTTTGTTAACTTTTCATGACCCTCCCAATAAATTTTCATATATTCATTTCTGTAAATATTTTCTTCTGTGGTAAAAATTTTATCGTGGAACGCATCGAATACGCAACTATAGTACCACGGTTCCTTATGCCTAATAATATGGTTAAAAGTGTGAACTAAAACTGGAAAATCATAAAATGATAACTGATTGTCGCTGTACGCATTATTCCAACTATTGATCTCACAAATTAACTTATAATTAAAATCTACGTCTTCGGATTTATCCGTCTGATGTGCTATATTGTTTATTACAAAAAGCAATAGATATTTCTCAAAGTCTTTATCGTATTTTCCATATTTCGGGAACTCAGTGTTAGTAGTAAAATATTCTTTAATTAGCTCATCGATCGGCGTGTTCTTTTTGAATAAAAACTCCAAATAGGACAGTTTCTGGGTGACAGAAATTCCTAAATTCAAACGTTTTAAAGGCATTATTTGTATTTTTTGGTACGTGGATTGACGTTCATCAAATTTCAACATATGAATGGCCAATAATTCATTTAACGTTGTCCACATTTCTTCAGTAAATTTCTTAAAACCAAAAAGATCCTCAATGGTGTTTATAAACAACAAATGAACATTTAAATCATCATTTTTATGTCTAGAACAAAAATATTTCATAACTTCAAATAAAGCGTCCATGTTGTTAATGTGACATGTTTCAACCAAGTATTTTATTAATTTACCTCTTTCATTAATATGCGACGTTACATTAATTATTTCTTTGATTAATGGAACCGAATCTTCAATCAGTAGGTATTTGAGGTACTCATTGTTACCTTTGTCTACTAAAACATTTGCCAAAGCTGCCCGTTCTATGTTGTCATGTATGATTTTTAATAGGTTCTCACTAATTATGGCAGGATGATCTGTTAATTTTATCTTATAGTGATCCTGAAAGGTTTTTACAAACAAACTATACCGGTACTTTTTAGGGAAACTCCAAAACAACCAGTCACTATTAATAGGCACCCTGACACTTGTTCAGGAACAGCATTTATAAAAAGTTGAACTGATTCTCTACCAATTTTTCTTAAAACGGCTTTCATATCTAAATAACGAAATTTGTAAGGATTCTTGATTATTTCATCTTTTTTACGCATTACAAACTTTTTTGTAGATCTGCGACCAAGGCGTACAGAAAGTTTAAATTTATCATTGAGACACTCAAACAAAGCACAATTTTTGTTATGAATAAACTTTATCAGGTTTTTATTTTCATATGCATTAATAGAATTCTTGGTAACGGTAAAGTAAAAATATATGAGCTCTGGATCTTTGGAGTATAAAATTTTCAACTGTGTTGAAGTCAATTTAACAGGATATTCAATTAAAATTTGCCTTACTTTTGCAGGAGTACACCCAGTAATAAACTGTGACGCCAAATACAATCCATACTGATTAACAAGAGCGTCATAAATTTCATCAAATTTATCAGCTGGTGAAAATCTACTCAATTTCCTCAGTACTTTCATACGAACCGAAAAAGACATGCAGGGTAAAATTTCGTTCACTAGTTGGTTTGCTGGAACGTCTCCAAGAACTTCTTCAAAAAACCAAACTTGCTTCGCTATTTTACTGACGAAAACGTCGTTTCCCTCTTTCAATAAATTTAGCAATTCTTGGGATCTTCGAAAATAAATTAGAAAATCAACTTTGAATAAGCTTTCTAGGCAAGTTCGGGGAATTAAATTTGACGTAATGGCATCAAGTGCTTCTACATTGTCCTTCACCACTGGTGCAATGTCATGCAAGAACTTGAAAAAATTTTTCTGCCTAATTGTAATAGTTGTTCCTTCTAAAGTTTGAAATTTATTTAGGAAATGATCAACAACGGTGGCCATTATTTAATTCCTGAAAATTGACATTTACCAAAGACTGATAAAAATAAAGATTGAGGGGCACCTACACCCACTGTAGGTTGGTAATATTCAGACGACTTTAAGACTGCAAGCTGTTGTCTTTATATGTCATGCAATATGAGTTATAAAAATAAAAAAAATATTATCAAATATTTTACACTTTACCGGTTTCTTAGCCTGTCTTCAGCTCTACTGGCACTACATCTCATGTACAAATACCGTGATCTAGTGCCAACTTTACAAAAATATGTAATACTGCATCTATCAACGTAAAATGTACTGAGTATGTAATGTATTCTATTATTGGATCATATGCGCTTTATATATATTTAAAAATGTATAAACGTGTTTATTCTTGGACAGATCGTAACTAGAAACTACCACACAACCGTCTAACGACTTTGAGACTTCTTACAAATTTTGTTGGTCCAGCACGGTTTCTAGAATATGAAAAAGTAGGAACCCAGTTCAGTCTGTCTGTCGTCTACCTCTCTGCTGCATGTAGTTAGTTTCTTTTAGATTTGTATTTTAAGCATATCGTAAAACGCTAACCAAAAAATTTGTATATTTGTTCTCACTAACAATGCCATGACAGCATCTCAAAATTTTGCTAAATAAATCCTAATATCTAAAATATCCAAAATAACATGTGTCCATATCTCTGCTTGTCTATTAATCTAACTTTATTTTCAACATTGCGCCCGTGGAGTTTTGGGGAAAAAATTAGAATGTGTATTACCTACAAATTTATCTTGTGGTATCCTGATTTAAAAATTAAATTCCGCGCCAACAAAAATTAAACAATGCCGTGAAATCGCATTTGAAAAAAAAAAAAATTATTGCGTTATCAAAACCACACATTTTTTCGCGGGATCAAAGCCACGGGTCCCCTCACCAAGTGGAATTAGTATAAGTTACGTTTATTAACGATTTTCTAATTCAAAATATTGCAAAATTTTGGCCAGTTTGTAAATTTCACAGTCCATAAATAAAATAAGTAAATGTTAACGTAAAACATGTGACCGAAATTCCTTCATTTAGGCTTAACTTATTTTAGTAACGATATATCCAAAATCTGGACGATTTTCCCTAGCTTATTATTCATACTTCATAACTTTTCACTCGAAATTTTTAAAAGTACGTCACAAGTAACACTGAAGCTTAATAAACATTGATCCATTTGAGAGAAAGAGCCTTGAAAGTTTTTATCAGTTAAATTAATATAATCGTGGACTCGAAGTGGGAAAGGGTATTTTGTGTTGTTATTTATGTGTGGTTGTTCTAGGTATAACCTGATTTTGAACATTTATGGCCATAACCACCTTATTTTGATGTCGACCGTAGGTAATATGTGCCTTGTGGTCTCCCAATTTGAATTGAAATTTCGCGCTGAGAAAAAAAAAAAACAGCGCTGCCAAACCCCATTTGAAGAATTTGGATTTGAAAAATAATAGTTCGTCGAAAGAATTAGCGAAGGTCAGTTTTTAGGTTGATAGTTGGAGAGGGGTTGATAATGCATGGAAAAGTAGACTCGTTTTAAGCTTGATGTGTAACCTGTTCTGTGAGTGTGCACGTGGTAAAAATTAAAGGTAGGTTAAATTTATTTTGTACTTTCACAAAATACCTATTGTGTAAACGAAAATTAATTAATCGCATCGTAATTGTTTATTAATGTTTTTCTACTGGGAAATGTAAGTTTCGCCGATGTTAATACTGGTGGCAGTTTTTGTTGATTTTTTGTAAATTCACAGTTCATGTTAAGATTTTCAACTGTTTTTGGTTTTAACACTATCTAGCAGCCATGAAATTGTTCATAAAACCCAATTTTAGTTTTTGTTTATTAAAAAAAAGATTCCTTTTTTACTTAAGTTAAGATTGCTACTACCACGATGCATTTATGTAATTTAAACTGATCTGAGTTTTCTCTCGACTACCACAATTTAAATTTGTTGCTACACCATCGTAATAACTTGTGTATTTGTGTCCAGTTACTTTATTTTCTTTCTCTTGTTTTTTTTTTTTTAATTTTTGATATTCAAACATCTACATCGATGCGTAACATTTAATTTCATTGTTCATCAATCCTCCTACTTGAAAGTCGACTTATTTCGCAATTGTTTTTACTTCTGCGAAAGAGAGGAATAAACATTTTTTGGCCTCCATATTACCATTTCTTGTGTTAGATTTAGGTGCGCTTTTCTAACCTTATGGTTCACCACTTTGCATTAGAATGCATTCCACCATAAAAAAAACACAACATAGGGTGCCACTTTTTTGACAATTACAGTTCAAGGCGAAATTTTTGAATTTTTCGCGGGTTTTAAAATTTTAAATTCTGGCGGTATGGTTGAGTTATCGCAGTTTACGAGTATTTCATATCTGCTTTGTTGATGTGATATTGGAATTCGGTAATGTAATCTTGACGAACTTATTTAGATTTAATCAGTATAAATAATTTAAAAATCTTGATTATAAAATATGGCCTAGTTGAGTATTGCTTCCTTCCTCCCTTGTTAATTCTATTACTGATTCAATTATCGTTCTAAATTCGAGAAATATCGGATTCGAAATTTAATAGGGTCCAATCACACCAGCGTGGAACGTCTAGTAATACAACGTCTTTGGCAATAACAACTTAAATATGCTTAAATTAAAGTCCCTAAACTACAGTACTATTTTAGTTTTGCGGACTTTGAACCTGTTCTGTGCTTTGAACTTGAACCTTGAACTAATCAAACCTGTGATCAAACTGTCAGATTCGCAAACCATAACCTGTATTGTGCCAATATCAAAATAAACAGTGACGTGTTGTTCGCTATCGGTAGTGCCAACGTAATATTAACCGCACAACCGGATTTTTGCGAGGTAATGCTGATTTACAGTTGGTAGAGAAACGACGTCAGTCATTAAGACGTGTGTAAGATATTTAAATTAATGAATAATGAAATTAACTGTGTTTGTTGGGGACAGCATACAAAGAAGTCACATTTTGTGTTCAATTTCAGGTGGAATGTGGGAAAAATACAAGTTCAGTCAAAAAGACTAAAACGAAGAAATCATAACTGGCACAAAAATGAAGGCGACGCTGTATGCTTTGAAGCCGGATAAGCCGTGGGACGACAGAGGCACAGGCGACGTCTCCATTTCGTATGTTGATCGTCTCAAAGGCAAGTGTTTACTAGTCCGATCGGAGAGCGACGATTCTCTACTACTCGAAATAAAAATCCAGCCTGACACTACCTATCGAAAACAGGAAGATACTCTGATTGTGTGGCCAGGGGAAGACGAGTTTGATCTCGCTTTGAGCTTCCAAGAGAAGGAAAAGTGTGATGAAATTTGGGAACAGATTTCTGAGGTGCAAAAGAAAAATCATTCAGTTGAAATTACCCAAGACACTGTAGAAAAATCTAAAAGTGAGCGCCTTGTTGTGCTTCCTTTCGAACTACCAAGTTGTGAAATTAGCAACTTGGAAGATATTAATAAATTATTTGAAAAACATTTGGCTTTTTTAGTAATGAGAATAAATTCAAATTCAAGTATTATAGAAACTAGTTATCTTCGTAAATTGATAAATGTGTTTCATATGTGTGAAGATCTGAATGATATTGAAGGCTTACATCATTTATACAATATATTTAAGAAAATTTTTATGATTAAGGACAATGCACTGTTAGAAGCTATGCTTAGTGATGAGTTGATATTTGGCGTTGTTGGTTGTTTAGAGTATGATCCGTCATCTTCAACGCAGAACCATTACAGGGAGGACCTAAAACAGCAAGCCATGTTTCGAGAAAATATCCCCATTAAGAATGCTGAGCTTTTATCAAAGATTCATCTGACATTTCGAGCTCAGTATATCCTGGATGTAGTGTTGTCTCGCTCATCTTCGTGGGTGAAAGGGTTACTGAGTGCTTTTATATCTAACAATAAAATTCACATACTGTTGCTAATTCAAGAGGATGCGAAGTTTTTAACTGAACTTTTTACCATGTTGACCGATATGAATACGCTTGATTCAAATAGAAGGGACTTACTTTTATTTCTAAAGGAATTCTGTCATTATTCACAAAGTATTGATTGTCTAACCAGAGAAACTTTTTACAAAACACTAACCTCGTTTGAGGTGTTAGCTGCATTAGAGATTACATTGGCCATGAATGACCAAAAGGTTAAGACTGCTTCCATTGATGTACTTACTTATATTGTGGACTTTTCACCAACTGTGATTAGAGAATACATATTAGACCAAGCAAATAACACTGTGGAGGTAAGATACTTTGTCCAGAAATTTTGACAAGAACTACACATCATACACTCTAAGATCGACACAGCTGTAAAACTGCGTAAAAGCACAAAATCGGTCGGGCCAAGTCACTTTCAAATTTAAGGGGTGGGCGTCCGTCATCATTGCTCTGTCATATAGTGAACTTTTTTAGCGGAAGGGTACCTGTTTAGATTTGTGCCTAATAGAATCATTCGCATTCGTACGAGCGTGTTGACCAGTTCACTTAACTTTGTTTCCCTGTTGTTGTTTGCGATTTAATAAATAATAAAAAAAATACACCCCCTTCTGAACTGTGCATGTTACGCTACTGACTGACAGTACGTTGTCAGATTCTGATGACTTTGTGTTTTGGATACTTATCGCGATTAATAATTTTTGTCTGTCTCAGAGTATGTAATGAGAATATAAGATTAGTTATTCTGATAAAGCAAATTGACTGTTTTTACGTAACATGAGAGATTTTACTTGAAGAATCTTCAAAGAAGATATTTTAAAAATATAAAATATAAATATTTTTAGTAAATACATGCATACTACATACAATAAAATTTGATCTTGTGTGAGCTCGACTTAAATACTAACATCATTTTAGGACAAAACATTGTTGAACATTATCGTAGAACAGATGATCTGTGACAATGATTCACAATTGGATGGAGCAGTGCTACTGATGGACATATTAAGGATTCTTTTAGATCCGGAAAATATGTTTTCCTCAGTAAACGAATCACACAAAACTGATTTTCTTAATTTGTTCTACAAACATAGTGTCCAAATTTTAATAGGTAAATTCGACACGATAGATATTGCCATAACTACTTACTTTTGTTCTAGCGCCACTTATGGAAAGCACAACGCATGATGAACCTCAAAGAGAGGACTCTCGAAGTGCGCAACATTTGGGTTTAATCTTGGAATTGCTGTCTTTCTGTGTGAATCATCACACAGACTATATAAAAAACTTCATTTTAGACAACGATTTATTGCGCCGAGTATTAGTACTAATGAAATCAAAGCACAAATTCTTAGTTTTATGTGCTCTCAGGTTTATGCGAAAGTTGATTGCTTTGAAAGATGAAGTTTTTAATAGGTACATAATCGAGGGTAATCATTTCGCTCCTGTGGTGGACGCTTTCGTCCAAAACAAAGGCAGATACAACATGCTGGATTCAGCCATAATCGAAATGTTCGAGTTCATCAATGTCAAAGACATTAAAATTTTGTGTTCACATGTCGTGGAGACCTACGGAAAGTCATTCGATAACATTTGTTATGTACGAACTTTCAATGCGCTGAAACAAGAGAGGAACGTAACCGAAAACAACTCAGCACAGAAGTCAACAATTAATAGTAATGATGTTTCACGACCCCGTGTAGTAATACGACGTATCCAGTCGCAGTTTTTCAAGCGAGTAAGTCATTATTTTAATTTGCTATTTTTTAAGGTAATTTTGATATAAAACAGGACACATACAAACTCGAGAGGATCAAATTTTATTCACAATCGGTCAGTAATGTGAAACTTTCAATCTTTTTAAAAATTTGAAAGTCTCAAGGGTGGAAAGTGACATATGTCACTTATCTGTCACTTTCCACCCAAGAGATGGAAGTGAATTTCACTTTGGAGCCTAAAACGTTACGTATGTGTAATTAATGGTAGGATGGAAATCAGCGATTGTAAATGTAAGGAGACCCTATGGTCAAGACTGCCACTTTTTGATTGGTGTCCCCATTTTATTTCACATTATTATCACCAGCCATTACCTTGAGTTTGACGTTTGTCAATGTTAAAAGTTGAAATCTACTTAAAACGATTGTGAATAAAATAGTTTACAAACCTTGGCAAAAGTACCATTCCTGTGTCTCGAGAACTAGTTCACTCGACAGGAATAGAATACTTTCCTCCTCGTATGTAATATACTATTACACCCAAGCTCTCTCTTCACTGACAATAGCTGTCTTATGGCTGTTTTTCTAGAATTTTCTAATTGCGAATTGGATTTTGAGAAAAGTACTTTAACTATGTACAACATAAGCTGATTTTATGACTTCAGTTTCAGTATCGTCCAAGCAACATCACGAAAAGGGCAAAATTTCATGGTGTGTTACTAAATACCGGACAGAAAACTTACGAGATAATTTTAGAAATTGGCAATGGACAAATTACATTAACGTCGATAAATTTGAGATATCGGACAATACAGTTAACGAAAATAAACAATGCAATTCATACCGAAAACCGAATCTATCTTTATTTTGGGAATAATTACAAATTCGAACTTACCTTTGTATTGGAAAAACATCAACTACAACAAGCGTTCACACTACTGGAGCCAATGATTCAGGGCAGATCTGATCAAATACATCCCACACCACCACATTCGGAATAAGAAAATTGCTCCCATAGACTGTCCTCAGTAAAAATGTAAGTAACAGACACACGCAATACTATTAACCATCATATTCCAAATAAATAAATTAGTACTCTGCGTGAAACATTTGTTTTCACAATAGGCAAATGAAAATATGCTGAAAATCCTGATCTAAAACGAAGAACATTAACGGGTTTTAATTGATAGTGCAATGATTATGTGTTTGTCCTTGAGTCCGAGAAGTCATTTGAAGCTGACATAATAGTTCCTAAATAGATTACCATTAGTTTTAAGAATAACTAAAAAACGGGCGAATGTGTATATAAATTAAACGAACCCACAATTAAAAGCTACACACCTACAAGAATGTGTAACTTTTAGTCAGCTTCGTCTATTTATTACGCAAAATGGCAGCCCTATATTTTTTATACAAGTCAATTGTATTTTGTAATTTTCATTTTAATTTGTAACAAATGAAGTTTTTTAAAAGACAATGTTAAAATGTACTTATATGTAGGTAATAAATATAATAAGTGAAAAATTATTATATTTTATTGATCACAATCTCCGTTTTTAACCCTCTGATCTTATTTCTAGGAATTATTTCCAGTATAGGTGAGTGAAATTCGATTTTGTGCTACTTCTTCAAAGATTTTTCGGTTTAGTTGACGTGAAAAAAACAGAAAAATAACATTAAATAATTTATTATGATGAATGAAAAGTTATATTTTCAAAATAAACCTTAGTATTAGACTAGTCAACCGTAAATCACATATTAGAGTTTATTTTGTATTTAATTTAAGTTTCTTTAGACTGCAGAAAACATCCACATCTGCAGAAAAATCACTACTATCTACAGAATATGTGCGGAAATACGATTTGTATTTTTTACACAAACAAATTTGCACTCCGACGTCTTTTACACTTTTAATCAGTTGTACAAATTCATCGAAAGCTTTTCTGGTTTCGAAATCGCTCGGTGGTTCTGAAACAAGTTGTAACAGTAGAACTGCTATAATGGGAATAGGACGTTGCTTCATCATACTATAGTACAAATCAGTATTTGTAAAATCCTTTTGCACAAAAAATGTCAGGTTGTAATCTATTTCCCTTGAAAATAAAGGAATCACCAACGTCCCACATTTTGAAACTATTTCTTCAAAAAAATCTAAAATTTTGTTAGTGAAGTCGTCGACAGCCCACTGTCTTGATTCCAGCTTGCATTTTAAGAAAAAGATTTTAACGAAATCAGAAAAGTTTTCAATGAGTGAAACCTTTTTTTCAAAGTAATTCACGTACGGTTCCATGTATCGTAAATCATCACATGTTGACTCCATAACTTGGCGATACCAATTAAGAAGAAACTCAGAAATCTCTCGTTCACTCGGACACTGGTCAACGATGGAAAAGACTTCGTCAAAAATAAGTTGTTTTTCGTCCTTGCTACTTAAAAAGTCAAATATGAATTTAAATATGTTGTTCAGATCTCTGCGTCCATGCTCTGTCATCAAGTGTTGTTGAATAATTCGTATACCAAATTCTAATGGTATTTCTTCAATTATTTCCCGATTCATATAGTCAAGAAGTGAGTGTTTTAAAGGCGACGAGTTATCCCACCGAATCTCGGTCTTCTCTATATGTTGCCATGCGTACTGAATATATTTAGCCCTATATTTCCGGGGAATTTTCTTCAAATGTTCGGTTATACTCTCTAAAGATTTACTGTGAGCTTCGTTAACAAGCAGCATGTTAAGCTTAACTAATTCGAAGATGGAATCGCTCGGATTTTTGACAAAGTATTGGATTGTACGTGAAAACAAATACTTCTGGAGCGATTGCACTTGTGTTTGCTTACTGAGTATATGTTCAACTTTCGAAGAAAGTAGTTAATTCACATGTCATGTATAAAGCATGCTTTCGTACTGATACGGCTTTATTCGATAAGTAATTCAAATACTGAGAAAGTTCGTTTTCTGGTGTTCGATATAGCAAACTGTAAAGCGATCGCATGGCATATTTAAAGTAACTACCGGTACAATAATTCAGCAAAGAAGGGAGCACCTCGTAGCTTTTTGTATTTTTAAAATGCATGGCTATAGCACATTGTAATTTATATCGTCTGAGTTCTTTTTCGTTCCGTAAATTTAGTTTTTTATTTTCAGGTTGGTATGAATCTGCTAATGCTGCGTAATTTCTAGGCTTCATTAAAACAGACAAGAAAGAAACAAAATGTGATTTCCTGTAAATGCATTCTTCGTCACCCACTTTTGCTAAACTCAGTTGAATTAATTTTTCATCTAGTTGCAAATGACTCAATTTTTTAATCCGTCTCCACAACTTTAAATGCTCTTTGGTGTGTTTTTCGGTCAATATTTTAAAGACGATCTCAAAATTGGCGACGATGGTAAGAGGATCGTATATTTTAAAAACCACCGAATATCGGTTAGTTTTGTTAACTTTTCATGACCCTCCCAATAAATTTGCATATATTCATTTCTGTAAATATTTTCTTCTGAGTAAAAATTTTCATGCGGAAGGCATCAAATACGCAAGGATATTGCTTCATCTGCTTACTCCTAATAATACTGTTAAAAGTGTGAACTAATATTGGAAAATCATAAAGTGAAAGCTGATCCTCTTTGTACGCACTATTCCATCTATTTATTTCACAAATTAACAAATACTTAAAATTTTCGGATCTATCGGTCTCATGAATATTGTTTATACAGAAAAGCAAGAAATATTTTTCAAAATCTTTATCGTAATCTCTGTATTTGGGGAACTCAAGGTAAGTAGTGAAGTATTCTTTAATTAGCTCATCGATCGCCATGTTCTTTTTGAACAAAAACTCCAAATAAGACAACCTCTGGGAAACAGAAATTCCCAAATTAATACTAGCTAAAGGCATTGTTTGTATTTTTTCGTACGTGGATTGACATTCATCAAATTTCAACATGTGAATGGCCAAAAACTCATTTAAAGTAGCCCACATCTCTTCAGTGAATTTTCTAAAATCAAAATGGCGTTCGATGTTATTTATAAATTGCAAATGTACATCTAAATCATCATTTTTATGTCTAAAACAAAAATATTTCATAACTTCCAATAAAGCGTCTATGCTGTTGTTAATATGACATGTTTCAATTAAGTATTTTATTAATTTACCCCTTTCTTCAATATCTGACGTTACATTAATTATTTCTTTGATTAATGGAACGGAATCTTCAATAAGTAAGTACTTGAGGTACTCATCGTGACCTGTGTCTACTAAAACTTTTGCTAAAGCTGACCGTTCCACGTTGTCAGGTATAAGTTTTAGAAGTTTCTCGCTAATTATGTTAGGATAATCAACTAATCTTATCTTGTAGTGATCCTGAAAGATTTTTATAAACAAACTATAATGGTACTTTTCAGGGAAACTGTTAAACGGCCAAATGCTATCAATGAGGCAACCTGGGAATTGCTCAGGCAGGGCATTTCTAAAGAGTTGCACAGAATCTCTACCAATTTTTCTGAAAACGGCTTTGATATTTATGTAATCAAATTTGTAAGGATTCTTGATTATTTCATCTTTTTTAAGCATTACAAACTTTTTTGTAGCTCTTCGACCAAGGCGTATGAGCATTGATATATTATACTTATTTTTTAGAATATCAAACAAGGCATGATCGTTAAAATAAAGAAACTTTATCAGGTTTGTATATCCATATATATGACTAGAAGTGTTGGTAGCAGTAAAGTAAAAATCTATGAGCTGCGGGTCCTTTGAATACAAAATTTTCAACTGTTTTGATGTCAATTTAGCAGGATAATCAAGTAAAATTTGTCTTATTTTTTCAGGACTACACCCAATAATGAACGGTGATGCTAAATAAATTCCATATCGAGTAACAAGAGCATCAAAAATTTCATCAAACTTCTCACTCTGTGAAAATCTACTTAACTTCCTCAGTATTTTCATACGAACCGAAAAAGACATGCATGGTAAAATTTCATTTACCAGTTGATCTGCTGGAACATCTATAAGCACTTCTTTGAAAAACCAATCTTGCTTCGCTATTTTGCTGACAAAAACATAATTTCCTTCTTTCAATAAAATCAGTAATTCTTGTGATTTTCGAAAATAAATTAGAAAATTCACTCTGAATATGCTCTCCAGGTAAGTTCGAGGATTTAAATTTGACGTAATGGCATCCAGTGCTTCTACATTGTCCTTCACCAATGGTGCAATCTCATGCAAGAGCTTGAAAAAATTTTTCTGCCTAACTGCAATAGTTGTTCCTTCTATAGTTTGGAACGTATTGAGGAAGTGTTCAACAACTGTGGCCATTATTTAATTCCTGAAAAAATATAAACAAGTTAACTTGAAATTATAGGTTAGGAAGTGACACCAATAATTACCAACTAAAATGACGGAAATGATATAATGAAAAATGCAAGTTGTACTAAGGGTGTCTACACCACCCGGTCTGTACCTACCGGTGTTGCCTGTACATACACGAATTGTTATAAATCTGTGGTAACATTAAAACGCCACTGTGGTTGCCTAGTTGTGAAATTAAGCGAGTGAGTCACTATTATTGATACAACTTGAAATGAACTTTTTCTTTGGCTCTACTGACACAACTTCAAATGATCGAATGTCAACTATACAAAAATATGTGCTACATATATTATGTATCACTGAACACCCAATATAGTATGTTATGTACTGTAGATATTGTCCACCTATACCACACTATACTGTTACTGGGTCATCTGCACATTATTTTTAAATAAATGCAAACATGTGTTTATTTTTGGAAAGATCGTAACATGTTATTAGCCACTGCTTATTCATTACACAAATATCTCGGAATGCGATGCTGCCGTCTAACCACTGGGATTTCCTACACATTTTGTTGATCCAACATATAGTTCCTAGAATATGGAAAAGTAGGTAGTACGTTTCCGTCTATCTGTAGCTGCCTCGCTGTCTGTGATTTTATTGAACAAAACAGAACGCAGAATGTTTTACAGATTGCAGATACCTACCGTGTAAATGGTAAAACTTGAACAAAAATTTGACTGCTCGTTCCCATTACAAATGTGATATCATCTCAGAGATTTTCTATCATACAACAAAAATTTGTAACTATTTAAAAGACCAAGTCTGCTCTCGTTTTATTATGGCTCTCAACAATACAACGAACATCGAACATTAATCACTTAACATTTACATAATTTAAACAAATCTCAAAAAGTTGTTCCAAATATTCTTAAATAAATATTTTGATCTTATAATAATATATAAAATGTTATATTATAGGTATAAAAATTCACTTTTTGTATTATACCCATGATTATACTAAGTACATACAAGTACAACAACTAATGCTAGTTACATTTATAGGTACCTCCATGGTTATATATAAAATAAATGACTCTGTATTTGTTCTATATTGAGACACGTATATATTTACGTATGCATACAATTGCCTAACCACTACAATACTAACTATTCATCCACTTAAAACTACTTTACAATGTGGCTACCTTCTACCCCTTCTACAGCGGTGTCCGCCCCGGCCTCGACGGTTTTGGGGGGTGCGCAACAGGCGCGTGCAATGTGAATTATTGACAGTATTTAAGCTATCTTCATCTGTTTCCATATCTTTAGAATATCTTTGGTACCAACTGAAATTTTTATACTGTAAACAAATTTGTAATCCTGGGTCTTTTACAGCTTTAAAAATGTGTAAAATCTCATTGAAAGTTTTGCTGGTTGCCGGGTTCGAGCAGAGATACGGTGATGGCTCACTAACTACTTCAATAAGCATACCTGCTATGAGGTGGGTCGGACTACGTCTCAGCATACTCAAGTAAAAGTCATTTTTTGTAACACCATTTATTGCAAAAAATGACAAATTAAAATCCATTTCCTCTGCAAAAAACCGATTCACATGCGCTCCACATTGTAAAAATACATCTGTGTAGTACGATACAAGTTTCTCTGAAAATTCTTCAACAGTCCACTCACTTTTTTCCAGTTTGCGATATAAGAAATATGTTTTAATTAAATCGGTGAAATCTTCAACTTGTGAACATTTATCTTCAAAATAATCCACGAACTTGTCCATGTATAGTAAATTTTTAATAGTTGATTTCATAATTTGGTGATACCAACTACGAAAAAAAGCAAACGTTTGTTCTTTACTGTTACACTGGTCGACAATGGATAGTATTTTGTCAAGAATAAATTTCTTTTCATCCTGACTACTTAAAAAGATGAACATAAATGAATGTATATTGTTCAGGTATCTGCTTTCCTTCTCTGTCATAAAGTGCTGTTGAATAATTTGCATGCCAACTTCTAATGGAATTTCCTTGGCTATTTCTGAATTCACACAGCCAAGAAGTTTCTCTTTTAAGGGTCGCAATTTTTGCCACACAGTCACGGTTTTTTCTAGATGGTTCCATGCGCATAGGACATACTGGCCCTTAAAGTTCTGAGGCATCTTACGCAAATGTTCGATCATGCCGTTCAACGATTCTTCGTCAGCTTGGGTAATAAACAGCATATTCAGTTTAACTAAATCGAATATTGAATCGCTTGGATTTTTTACAAAATATTGGATTGTGCTTAAAAACATATACTTCTGAAGCGATTGTACTTCTTCTTGCTTACTTAACAATCTAAGCATATGTTCAACTTTCGACGAAGTAGTTAGTTCACATGTCATGTATAAAGCATGCTTTCGTACTGATACGGCTTTATTCGCTAAGTAATTCAAATACTGAGGAAGTTCGTTTTCTGGTGTTCGATACAGCAAACTGTAAAGCGATCTCATGGCATATTTAAAATAATCACCAGCACAGTAGTTCAGCAATGAAGGAAGCACCTCGTAGCTTTTTGTGTTTTTGAAATGCATGGCTATAGCACATTGTAATTTATATCGCCTGATTTCCTGTTCGTTTTGTAGGTCTAGTTTCTTGTTCTCAGGTTTATATGAATCTGCTAATGCCACGTAATCTCCAGGTTTCATTAAAACAGACAACGAAGGTACAAAATTTGGTTTCATTTCAATGCTTTTCTCATCATTCAGCATTGCTAAACTTAACTGAATTGATTCCTGATCAAAGTCCAAGTGAGTAAATTTTTTAATCTGTCTCCAGAAGTGCAAATTTGATTTTTTTGTGAACATTTTAAAAATTATCTCAAAATTTGTCATAATAGTGGCAGGTTCGTATTTTAAAAACCAGTGAATGTCAGTCCATTTTGCTACCGCATCATAACGTTCCCAATAAATTTGCATATATTCATTTCTGTAAATATTTTCTTCTGTGGTAAAAATTTTATTGCGGAACGCACGAAATACGGTGGGATACACCGACAGACCATAATTTGTAATAATATGGTTAAAAGTATAAAGTAATACTGGAAAATCATAAAATGATAACTGATCGTCTTTGTAGGCATTATTCCACCTATTGATCTCACAAATTACGATGTAGTTAAAGTATATAGTGTCGTTATGAGTCATATTGTTTATAACGAACAATAAGAAATATTTCTCAAAGTTTTTATCATAATGATTGTATTCAGGGAACGCACCGATAACACTAAAGTATTCTCTAATGGACTTATCAATCACGTCGCCCTTCTTGAACAAAAACTCCAAATAAGGCAATTTGTGGTGAACAGAAGTTGCTAAATTAACACTATCTAAAGGCACTGTTTGCATTTTTTCGCACGTGGATTGATATTCTATAAATTTCAGATTGTGAATGGCCACTAACTCATTTAAAGTAGCCCACATTTCTTCAGTAAATTTTTTCAAATCAAAAAGATTTTCGATGCTAATTATAAACTCCGAATGTACATTTAATTCATCATTTTTATGTTTAAAACAAAAATATTTCATAACTTCAAATAAAGCCTGCATGTTGTTATTAATATGACACGTTTCAGTTAAGCATTTTATTAATTTACCTCTTTCTTTAGCATCCGACGTTACATTAATGATTTCTTTGATTAATCGAACAGAGTCTTCAATAGGTAAGTATTTAAGGTACTCATTATCGCCTGTGTCTACTAGAACTTTTGCTAAAGCTGCCCGTTCTATGTTGTCAGGTATGATTATTAACAGTTGCTCACTAATTACGGCAGGATGATCAGCTAATTTTATCTTATAGTGATCTTGAAAGGTTTTTATAAACAAACTATAATGGTACTTTTTAGGGAAACTGCGAAACAGCCAATCGCTATTAATGAGGTATTTTGGGATTTGCTCCGGCAGAGCATTTCTAAAGAGTTGCACAGAATCTCTACCAATTTTTCTTAAAACGGTTCTCATATCTAAATAATTAAACTGATAGGGATTCTTGATTATTTCATCTTTTTTAAGCATTACAAACTTTTTTGTAGCTCTTCGACCAAGCTGTATACATATTTCATCCCTATCATTTAGATTTTCAAACCAGGTACGATCATAAATAAACTTTCTCAGTTTTGAATATTCACACCTATAAACAGAAGTATTGGTAGCGGTAAAGTAAAAGTCTATGAGCTGCGGATCCTTTGAATACAAAATTTTCAACTGTTTTATTGTCAATTTAACTGGATAATCTGTGAAAATTTGTCTTATTTTATAAGGACCACACCCAGTAATAAACTGTGATGCTAAATAAATTCCGTATCGAGTAACAAGAGCATCAAAAATTTCATCGAACTTCTCACTCTGTGAAAATCTACTCAACTTCCTCAGCACTTTCATACGAACCGAAAAAGACATGCACGGTAAAATTTCGTTTACTAGTTGGTTTGCTGGAACGTCTCCAAGTACTTCTTCAAAAAACCAAACTTGCTTCGCTACTTTACTGACGAAAACATTGTTTCCCTCTTTCAATAAATCCAGCAATTCTTGTGATCTTCGAAAGTAAATTAGAAAATCGACTCTGAATAAACTTTCTAGGTAAGTTCGGGGATTTAAATTTAACGTAATGGCATCCAGTGCTTCTACGTTGTCCTTCACCAGCGGTGCAATCTCCTGCAATAGCTTGAAAAAATTTTTCTTCCTGACTGCAATAGTTGTTCCTTCTATAGTTTGAAATTTATTTAAGAAGTGATCAGCAACGGTGGCCATTATTTCATTCCTGAAAAAATATGTACAAGTTGACATGAAGTTATAGGTTAGGAAGTGACACCAACAGTGACAATACTTACCACAACAAATGACGGAAATGAAATAATGAAAAGTGAAGGTGTACTAAAGGTGTTTACACCTCCCGGCCTACACTCAATGGTGTTGCCGGTACATGCGCGAATTGTGACAAATCTCGGATAATGTTAAGACGACATTGATTGTTAACTTCATAAATGCCAAGTTAAGTTGTGCAACCACGTGAAACATTAGTCACTACTGCCAGAGAACATAGAGAAGCGACATAGAGGCTGATTTTGCAAAACCACCCTTATTGCCATTGGAGTCCCCAACCGCCAAAGGCAAGCGCCAAATTTAAATAGTCGATGCCAATAAAAACCGTGCTTCACTATAATTGTAATTCGTGTGACCTGAATGATAGTGAAGGAAACAGTAAGCAGCTTGTAATATTCTGGTTAATCTAGTGTCAATTTGTCGAAAATAAAACGCGTCGTTAAAAATATTATGACATTTCTTCTAGTTACTTTTATTCCTAGTTAGAAGCAAACGCTGCTACCAACATAAATTGAGAAGTCCTCAACCGTCATTTAATTTAAACTATGGCGCTTCTCTGTGTTCTCTGCTACTGCTGTTACAACTTTTAATGAACTTACACTTTAGTCTTCCTCGTCTCCAGCTGTACTGGCATAATTTCGAATGCCAACTTCACAAAAATGTGTACTACATATATTATGTACTGTATATAGTGTGTACTATTATTGGATCATCTGCACATTATTTTTAAATAAATGCAAACACGTGTTTATTCTTGGACAGATAGTAATATGTTGCTGCTTATTCATTAGGTACACAAATTTTTCGGGATACGATGCTGCCGTCTAACCACTTATTTGGGAATTCCTCCATATTTTGTTGGTCCAACACAATTCCTAGAATATGAAAAAGTAGGAAGTCCATTTCTGTCTGTCTGTAGTCTGCCTCGCTCTCTATGATTTTATTGATAAAACTGCAAGGTAAATACAATGTTTTACAATGTTACTTGTGCATACCCACTGTGTAAATTCTAACAAAAATTTGACTACTCGTTCCCATTACAAATGTCGTGACATCATCATAGAGATTGTAATAACCCAAACTTCCCACCTTTAAATTGACCTCGAAAAAGTTTGAAAGGCCCGCGAAAGGGGTTTTATTCACCGAAATATTACATTTCAAACACCGTAAGATATATGAACGAAAAACATTCGCGAATTGACAGACATACACATATGAAAAATGAACAAACGCAAAATCCTATACATCTGTTTGGAATCAATGCAAATATTTGAATATCACAAATTTAATAAAATAAAGCAAAATCCGACTTAAGTAACTGGATGCAAATACACAAGTTACTACGGGCGTGTGGCGGCAGATCTTTTTTTTTTTTTTAGTTACGGCAGTTAACAGGAGCACAATAAAAGTACCAGGGTGTTGTAACACAAGCGGAGTTTGGGGCTACCGGTCTGGAGCTGTTGTCCCCCCACGACGGTGATTCTATCTATCGCAAAGCCTACACCATACGCATATCTCCATTACGAACGTGCCCTGCGGAACTAGGCCATTACGGTCGTTCGACCCGCAAGAGATCTCGGCTATGGGCAGAAGCCGAGAAATTTACAACATCGGCGGCCGCCCCTGAATCTATCCAAACCTGTGGACTTGTACAGGTGACACGATAAATCTCGCCAGCTCGACTAGGAACCGAACTTCGCCTCTGCCACATTTTCTGTGTTATTTAACCTCAATTCCCTTTTAAAATATTCAATCTCTTATAACCAGAGGGCGGCGACCTTGGAGTTAAGAACTGTGTGGACCACCACATGTATGCACATGACCAGCGCGGCACGGTGTCGATCAATTCGTCGGCCGACTACACTGCATTTGGATCGCAGTCTTATCGCTTGTTTTTCAGGTGCAATACGCACCTGTACATAGGCGTCGACTACTCCTTGCACGGCAAGCGCTTAGAAGTGTCACAGTAGTCATTGGTACAGCGGTAAATTAGTAAGAAACATATCTATTTTCTTTAACATTTTAGTTTCTTTTTATTTACATATATATCTGTGTGGAGATTTTTCAGTTTACTATTTATTTTTACGAATATATTTTGATTTTTTTAGTTCATTTTTCATTGAAGAAGCGTTTTATTTTATTTTTCTTTAATATGGATGACAGATTGTCCTGGCATCGCAGTACTATGCTACAATGGATAGAGGGTTACGATTGTCTATCTATTACCAATGATAGAAACATATATTGCAGTATATGTTCAATAACATTAGCAGCACCTCAAAAAGGAGGAATTAAACGACATTTAGAGTCTCAATCACATACAAATAAGAGTACTCCACCTTCGTCCTCTATTGTAGACACTTTTGACGAGGAACTATGCGAAGCATTTGTGGCAGCAAACATACCCTTGGCAAAACTTAATAATCCAAAATTGAAACACTTTCTTGAAAAATACACCCACAAGCACATACCCGACGAATCTACTTTGAGACGATTTCATGTACCCAAATGTTATTCACGGACAATTAGTGACATTAAAGCTAATTTGTCCGAACAATATCTATGGATCTCTACTGATGAAACTGTAGATATTTTAGGACATTGTGTTGTTAATGTCATAGTTGGTAATTTACATCCGACGAAACCACAAACCCCCTATTTACTAGCCACTAAAATTGTAGAGCATGTAGATGCTAAAACAATAGCTAAAGTGGTCGAAACAAGTATTTCAGGGCTTTTTCACTCACATGACGATTCACATATGTATAGTAAAATTCTTTTATTTGTAAGTGATTCTGCGGCGTATATGTTGAAAACAGGTAAATTGTTGCAAACCATATATCCAAATATGTTACACGTAACTTGTGTGGCACATGCATTGCATTGAGTAGCGGAATTTATTCGCGAACAATTTCCGGATGTGGATGCACTAATTTCAACATTTAAAAAAATATTATAAAAATCTCCGTCAAGAGTGTCCTTGTATAAAGAAACACTTCCAGGATTACCTCTGCCTCCGGTTCCCGTGATAACCCGATGGGGCACGTGGTTGGAAGCTTGTTATTTTTTTTCACAACATTTTAAACAATTACAAAAATTTGTATTTTTATTAAGTGACGATGCACGAAGTATTATTGACTGCAAACACACCATTGTCAAACCGAATATCGAAAATGATTTAAACCTCATTGAACGAAATTGTCAAGAGTTATCGAAAACAATAGTTTATGTACAATCTGAAACTTTAAAGCTGCATGACGCGTTATCACAACTTCAAAGTACTGTGACCCATTTAAAAAGTCTTCCAGGTGAATTTGGGAAAAAGGTAAAAATAAAAATAGAATCTGTTTTTAATAGAAATCCCGATTTACATATTTTGTACCAATTTTGCGACGGTATAACGGAACCAAACATTAGCACAAAATATGAGAATTTGTTGTCATTTTTGAATTACGCTCCCATAACCAGTTGTAACGTGGAGCGTTCATTTTCTAAATTGAAAGATTTATTAACCCCCAAACGAACACGCTTTACAGACGAAAATCTCGAGCGAACACTTGTGGTGTACGCCAACGCTAGACCTTGAGATATTTCGAAAACTGTGTGCACGCCTATGGATTAAAACGGCTTCGCCGTTCTCTGCTTATAACTCTGATATTAACAACAACTCAACAAGTGTTAAAGTTTCAAAGAGCAATAAACAACATTTAGATTCGCTATACAACCTTGTGAAATTTTAAACAACAAAACAATTCTTATGTGAGATTAAAGTTGGACATCAAATAATTTATATGATAGAAACATTCATCAACAAAGTATTTACAAAACAGAATTCAGCAAAGATTTATCAAACAGAAGATCTGGTGTGTAATAAACTTGTACAAATAAAAATATTATGTGAGGATAAAACTGTAGAACATGAAATTTGCGTTCAATTGAAATTATACAACAAATAAAATTACTGAGGTTAAAATTGTGAGATTAAAGAAATATTGTTTGAGGTGGAAATTTGCAGAGTTAACAAAATTTACATGAGATTAATATTTGCCACACTTCATCAACGGTTCAAACAAAGAGTTTACATTATGCCAAATTATATCACGATCTAAATGATTGGTTACTTCAAAAATAATTTACTTTGAGAGTTTAAAATACCGCGAACTGGTTACCTCAACAAAACACATAATAAACAAACACAAAAATATCCAATCATCGCTCCGAGGGAAAAAGCGTCTCGGTGATGTAAGTTTTAAAATCGTTGCGAGGAAAAAGCGTCTCGGTGATGTTATTAATCCCTAGCGTCGCGAGGACGGACCTCTATCAATCTGTAGCGTTGTGAGGGCATCCCTCGATTAATTAATCAATCTGTAGCGTTGTGATGACATGCCTCGATGAATTAATCAATCTGTGGCGTTGTAAGGCATGCCCCGATGAATTAATCATGATAACGATGATAACCACCTAAGGGAAGAAAATGTCATAACCCCCGCCAGTTCGCAGTACAATGAACTTTCTTTAACTGCCGCAAATGAACTATTAGCAATCTTGTGTGAAGAATTAAGAAATGTTATAATGTAACACTTACGTATATGCATCCAGAAGCTTATTCGTAATTAAACAATAAGGTGTTTTCCTGACTAAGTGAATTTCATGAAATCTTCTAGCAAGTGGTTTATTTAAATAATCCTGATTGTTAAATTGTGTTTGCACTAGCTGACTATTAAGAAAAACTAACTTGATTGGTGGATTTACAAACAATGAAACAAATTTACAGCACGTGTTTTGCGTCGGCCGGAAGTTCGCATTTTCCGATTAAAAGGCCGCAAGAATTTACCGCGCGGGTTGGAGACAACTATACATTATGAAAGTTACGATTGATTGTCGTTAAACAAAGGCTTCCTTCCGTTTTATTAGCTACCAAACCAACTAATTTAAACCTAGCGCTTACCACGTGTTTACACTCACACAAGCACATTCATAATGATTCTACGCCATGCAGCTTCTCCACCAACCCTTCTACTCTGTAACTAGAAACCCCTAGCGCTAAATCGTGCGATTACCAAGCAAGCATTTCCGTACGCCCGGTTGCCTATGTTTAACGATTTCCTTTTTTGTGATTTACTTTCATTAATTTTTTTTTCTTTCAAATTTAAATTATTCAAGTGTGATTTCGCGCCGCTGTTAATTAATTTCAGCGCGAAAACTTTGATTTAAATTCGGTCACCACAGTGCAACAAATAAACACTGTAAAAATTGGTAAAAATATATATTGAATTAAAAGTCAAAGGATGTCTAAAAAAAGGCTACAAGGTCACTTGCATTATATGCTATTTATCTAAAATATATAATTGAATGCATATCTGTGTTCAGGTCTACTGCAACAGCCGTCTCGTATGTAGTTTTCTTCGCAATACTTAGTTTTAAATTGTATAAAAGAAAATTAAATTAGAAAGTGATAATACGAGATGAACGTATTTTATTTATTTATATTTTTCGCCCATATACAGTGTGGAAACTGTAGTGATTATTAATTGTGGAACGACGTGCACTTTTAACAACGATTTATTGATTATTATGTACATGTCAATATATATATTATATGATGAAAGTATTTATGTGTTTTCGCGACGCGTGCCCGTTGACGGGTTGTTGGTGACTCTCGTCCGCCACTCGTTCGTCCAGGAGGGCGGTGATGAATCAATTTGGGGGTGGTACCGAACACCCGACGAGAGCCGAGCAGCCGAGAACTTCGGGTGGTACCACACATGACTTCCCCTCTTGAAGGTGCGTCCTTCAACATATTACGACTGGCTGGCCTAGAAGGGTAGCCTGGAAAATTGAAAATTGTACCAAAATGTCTAAACGGGAAAAACCCCTATAATAGTCAGTTCGCATCATAAGCAATGTCAATTGATCGCGCACTAATTTGTGTCTATGGGTAAAACGCACACTTTACGTAGGGCGCGTTTGGTGAGTCCATGAACAGTTTTGATTGTTACCACCCGCACTACACCGTCGTCCCCTGGATGAATTTCCGTGATCCGTCCGGTTTTCCATGTGAGAGGTGGTACATTTTCTTCTATAATGAGCGCGAGTGACCCAACTAGCGCATCCGGGTGGTCTTGCTGTTTCTGCCATTTGGATCTTGATTGCAGTTGCGTTAGGTACTCGCGACTCCAGCGTCGCCAAAAATGCGTGCGAATTTTTTCCACCAATTGCCATCGGGACAGTTTATTAATCGGCACCTCCGTCACATCGTATTCTGGAAAGGAAGTTAATGGCTCTCCGATGAGGAAGTGACCGGGTGTTAGGATGCTCAGGTCGTTGGGATCGGACGATAAGGGGGTCAAAGGTCTTGCATTTAAACATGCTTCAATGCGTATTAAGAGTGTGGACATTTCGCTAATGTCGGAAAATGCAACGGGTATAATTTTTTTGGCACTTTAATTTGACGTATATGGTTCAAACTGCTTAAAAAGGTAATCCAAGACGTATATATATCGGGAGGTACTGATTCATCCCAACCCAGTTTCAGCGTCCATAAACGTTGCAAAATTAATTTAGCATGCATTATGATGGGTCCGAGCAACCCTAACGGATCAAATATTTGGGCCGTTACCGAAAGTATGGCACGTTTGGTTACTTTATTAGGTATATTTTTCAGTATAATCTCGTAATTTAAATTATCGACGGTAGGGTTCCAATACAAACCTAAAATTTTTGTAAATTTATCCTTATGCAATTGTAGGTTCGAATCATGGTAATTATCATTATTAGAAAAAACACTTATTAGTTCGTTTGACTGAAATTTTCGCAATTCAAATTGACCCTGTTTCAATATGGTAGTTACATCATTTTTTATTTTAGTTAAATCTTCGATCGAGTCAACCCCGGTTAAAAGGTCGTCCATATAAAAATCTCGACGAATGATTTCGCTCGCGACAGGGTACCTAGCTTGGTTTTGATCAGCTAACTCCTTCAAACACCGCGTAGCAATAAAACTTGCCGGTTTAGTACCATATGTTAGTGTCAAAAGACGATACGTATTTAGTGGTTCGGATGGATGATTCCGCCAAAGAACTAATTGATAATTCGTATCGTTGGGATGTATCTTAATCTGACGATACATTTTCGCTATATCAGCGTTTAACACGTACTGAAATGTTCTAAAGCGTACTATTATTGAAAATAGGTCTTGTTGTAATACCGCCCCAGCTAGCAAATTATCGTTTAGACTTTGTTTATTTGAAGTTTTTGCCGACGCGTCAAAAACAACTCTTAATTTTGTTGTCGTACTAGACTCCTTTTGCACGGCGTGGTGAGGCAAATAAACGCAATTGTTGTCGTTGGGTGGTTGGCTTAAATATTCCATATGATTTAAATTTTGGTATTCTAACATGAAATCTACATAATTTGTTTTAACGTGTGGGTTTTTGATCAAATTCCTTTCAAGACTGAAAAAGCGTTTGAGAGCTGCATTTCGTGAATTACCAATATTTATTTTGTTATTTTTAATGGGCAACCGTACAATAAATCGCCCGTCATGGTCCCGTTGGACAGTTTCCCGGAAGTGGGTTTCACAAAGAATTTCTTCTTCGTTAGACGCATTCTTATCGTAATCCGCCGTAATTACTGGTTTTTCCAATTCCCAAATCTTTCTTGCCTGTATTTCTAAGCCGGGGTCGGGTCCGGATATGGAAATATTGCATGTTGTAAAATTTGTCGGTAAGTTTATGGTACCGAGAGGGCCTCCCACAATAAACCCTAAATGTGTTTTTTGAAATATTAACCCACTGCCCGGCGAGGACAATTGGCCTATGCAAAGTAAATTCCAAAAAAGGCCGGCTCCTATCAAAAGATCTATTGTACCCGACTCGAAAAACTTGGGATCTGCTAATTTTATGATTTTGGGAATTTCCAAAGATGAGGGGTTGATAGACACTAACGGAAGATTTTCGGTTATTTTGTTCACCACGATGCAATTTATTTTGGTTGAGTACGCATTATAAATAGATTTTATACCCACATCTAAAACTTGCTTTTGAGAAGAACTTGCCGCTCCATTTAAACCCTTAATTTGAATATTTATTTGTTCCGTATTCAATTTTAGCTTTTTAATCATCGGTTCAGTTATGTAATTGGACATAGAACCTGGATCCAACAAAGCTCTACAAGTTTCATATTCATTTTTAGCATTTTTAATAAGAACTATAGCCGTTGATAGTAAAACGGAATCTGAGCATTTTAATAAACTAGAAGAATGATTACTTAAAGTTACTGAACTATTTTCATCGGCGTCAGCTTCGTCTGTATGTATTAACGTATTATGTTTTTTGTTACAAGCTTGACATTTATGACTGGTACGACATGTAGCAACCTGATGATTTTCTCGGAGACAATTGATGCATAATTTAAGACGTTTAACTTGCGCTATACGCTCGGGAATTGACATTTTCAAAAAATCTATACACTGAAAAATTACATGAGATGATTTTTTACACATTGAACAAGATGCTTGTTTTTTATTAGTGGTTATGTGAGAAACAGTCTTTGATTTGTTGAAATAATTATTTTGTTTATGATAAACCTTTCCTTCATTTGATGTTTTATTATTCGACATATAACTTAATGATTCTAACATTAAACAACGTTTTTCTAGAAAGTCAATAAACTGTTTGTAAGTCGGTACATCTTTATCGAGGGAAAGTTGCCATTCACGTTTTGTACTATAATCCAACTTTTCTACAATGACAGGAATAAGTAATGCATCCCATTTGTCCACCGTTATTCCTAATGATTTTAGAGATGTTAAATTCGACACCACCGTATCGACAAGAGCCCGCAATAAGGATGGTGATTGCTTATTTATACTAGGAGCATTTAAAATGGACATTACGTGATCTTGCACTATTAAACGAGTATTTTTGAACCGATTAGTTAGTAATCTCCATGCCTCTTTATAATTTTCATCGTTAATAACTAAAGATTCGATGGTACGCAAGGCTTCGTCGCGCAAGGAAGACTTTAAATACTGAAATCGCTGACGATTATTTAACGCCTTATTCTCATCTATCACCGATTTGAACGAATTTTCAAAATTTAACCATTCTTTGTAATCGCCACTAAATGATTTGATATTTAAAACAGGTAGATTCAATTGCATGCTGTCATTAGAATCTCGTGGATTTTTACCGTCCGTAGGGTTAAGCAATAAGGAAGTCGATGGAACCGAAACCGCGAGACTTTTTTCTATAATATCGTTTATAAGACACACAACATCGCAATAACGAATTTCAAATTCCGATCTGCAGCCTTCATAGGCTTCTGCGGCTCCCTTTTCAAGTTGCTCTATCTGGTATTGAGTTTCGTTAAAATCGTTTCTAATTCCGTCAAGAAGTGATAATCGTGCTTTTAATTGATTGATACTGACCCCAGGACTATATGACTGTACATATTCCTCTATTCGTTTCAATGTATCATCAATGGTTTTCAATTTGCTTTTTTGCTGATCTAATTTAGACATAATTTTGAATAATTAATGAACCTTAAAGCCAATTAAAAATGTCTAGATACACAAATACGCGTTGAAGCTAGCCGTGCGAATATGGTAAAAAAGGGAAATCTTAGGACAAAAGAGCCACTAACCTTTCTCCTCTCAATGGTTTACACTCGTCCACGATAAGAGTGTAGCTGAACGTGTGCTGACTCCCTCTTGTTGAAGCCCTAGTTCCGATGTTGAAGATTTTTGCACGGGGTGGTGATTCCTCGTCGGAGATGCTGCCCACTGCTGCCGCGAAAATCGCTGAATGACGACTTCTTCCACGGGGTGGCGTTTCCTCGTCGGAGATGCTGCCCACTGCTACCGCAGAAATCGCTGAATGAACCTCTTCCGCGGGGTGGTGTTTCCTCGTCGGAGATGCTGCCCACTGCTGCCGCAGAAATCGCTGAATGAACCTCTTCCGCGGGGTGGTGTTTCCTTTGTCGGAAATGCTGCCCACTGCTGCCACGGAGATCGCTGAATGAACCTCTTCCACGGGGTGGTGTTTCCTTTGTCGGAAATGCTGCCCACTGCTGCCACGGAGATCGCTGAATGAACCTCTTCCGCGGGGTGGTGTTTCCTTTGTCGGAAATGCTGCCCACTGCTGCCACGGAAATCGCTGAATGAACCTCTTCCACGGGGTGGTGTTTCCTTTTTTAGAAATGCTGCCCACTGCTTCCACGGAATTTGTTAGTTGAAAACTTCTTCCATGGGGTGGTGTTTCCTTTTTCAGAAATGCTGCCCACTGCTACCACGGAACGTCACTACCACGCGTCGCGTATCAATTCGGAATAATACAATCGCGGTATTAATATCCGGCTCGAAGGACCAATGTGGAAACTGTAGTGATTATTAATTGTGGAACGACGTGCACTTTTAACAACGATTTATTGATTATTATGTACATGTCAATATATATATTATATGATGAAAGTATTTATGTGTTTTCGCGACGCGTGCCCGTTGACGGGTTGTTGGTGACTCTCGTCCGCCACTCGTTCGTCCAGGAGGGCGGTGATGAATCAATTTGGGGGTGGTACCGAACACCCGACGAGAGCCGAGCAGCCGAGAACTTCGGGTGGTACCACACATACAGAATGTTCATTTTATCTGTTCACGCCTGAATATTTCTGCATAGGCAACCCATTTTACGTTTCTTAAACAGCTTTGATTAATTTTTATTTTGAAATAATAATGAACGCAGGTGTATATATAGCAATGATCAGAACCAAAATTATGACACATTATTTCCGTCAGCCAAATATTTTCAATTTTCGTTTGCTTTAAAATGGTTTCGAATTCTGAAAAAACAGACATGCTATTAATATTGGGAAAGTGTGACAAAAATTTTGATGCTGCTGTTCGTCTCTACGCCAGGCAATATCCCAATAGAAGAACTCCCTCAAATCAAGCGTTTTGAAAACTTGAAAAAAAAATTACGAGAATTTGGGCAATTCAAAAAAAAATAAAAGTTGGAAATCAAACTGTAACAACACCAGATAATGAAGCTGCTCTAAATGAAATTGTAGCAGAAAATCCCCACGTGAGTCAGAGTCAGATTGCAAGACAAATGGAGATTAGTTTGATAACCACGTCATTGTTCCATATTTTTTTGAAGGAAATTTAAACGGACCTATGTATCTAAATTTTTTAAAGAATATTTTATCTGAACTGTTGGAAAACTCCCGCTCATTTTTAATAATAATAATAATAATGTTTATTGCTCAACAGATACAATCCAATTACTGGACAATTATTACCTTCAATTAGTAAATTAATATAAACAAAGTGAAGGGAAGGTGAAAAATGACGTTTATAGTGTCCCAATCGAAAATGATTGCTATGATTGCTCATTAAAAAAAAAATTAAATTGAACGAAGTCGTTTCTGGAGTGTATAATATGATGCCTTTTCAAAAATTGTCAGGCGTGAACAGATAAAATGAACAGCCTCTATATGTGAGATATTTTCCGGTTCGCCTATTTCAGATTCTGCTTTTTTAAGTTCCATAAAATATACGGTCTACTTCTACACTTTCATTTGCCAAATTTATGTTCATCAGAAGTTATGCCGGTCTTTTACATATAGATCATAGGGATCAGTTGTTTGTTCGTAGTCTGTGATTAGACAAACAACATCAAACGAGTCCTGACAAAGTGAATTTCATGAAAACTCCTGCAAGTGCTTATCTAAACAAATTCCTGATTGTTAAATTGTGTTAGAACTAGTTAACGATTAAACTCCTAACATGAACTGTGAATTTACAAACAATAAAACAAATTTACACGTGTTAGCGTCGGTCGAAAATTAGCTACGCGTGTTGGGGAAACTGTGGCTTCATCGTCATTACCAAACCGCCATCTTCTACCCACACCAACCCGCTAACTAAAATTCCAAGCAGAACTACCAACTACCAAAACAGAACTAAACGTGCACATGGTGACCTATGTTTAATGATTTTCTTGATTGATTTTTTTTTCAAATTCAAATTATTCAAATGCGATTTCCGGCCGTTGTTTTTTTTTCTCAGCGCGAAATTTTAATTTAACTTCGTCACCACAACATTTTGAAAATGAGCTGTTCTGATTCAGTGTGGGTTATTTTGGGAGTAGTAGTGACAGTTGTGCTGATTAACAACTCCGTTATTGCCAAATCTTAGTAAGATATGGTGTTCCTCAAGGTTCGGTCTTGGGTCCCATCCTATATTTATCAATTTACCAAGCAGTTCATTCATGACGAACTTTATTTTGTTTGCAGAGGACACGACTCTAGCGGAAAGTAATCAGGATATAAAGAAATTGATTAACGAAGTTACGCAAGCCTAGAATGAAATCAATACTTGGTTTTTGTCCAATAAATTGTGTAGGAATGAGAGTAAGACTCAAAGATTAGTTTTTTCTTTACGAGAGCTGGATACTGTTGACGAAACAATTAATATGCTAGGGGACATATTGGATAAAAAAAGACTTTTGAACAACATATTGTTAAGTTGGGCAAATCTGGATCAAAAAGACTACACTTTGAAGGCTACGACCAGTTATGTCTGAAAAAACATTAAAAGCGGGATATTTTGGCGATATACAAAACTGTGTATCATATGCGATTTTAGTATGAGGTCATTCTCATCATATGTTAACATTATTTTCTACCCAAAAGAAAATGTATATATACGTATTATTGCCGGGTTAAATTATAGAGTTGACTGTCGGGAATCATTCAAAAATGTATGTATTATCACACTACCAGCAACTCATATTTATGTTTGTCTTAGAAATGTGAAACGTATTCCAAATCAGTTCAGATCCCTGGACCATGAACATCAAACAAGATTTAAAGAATGGCTCCAAACCGAGGAGGGTGGAATAAGAACGGAGGGAGCATGTCCTATGCTTTCAATGGTACGGTTTTGGCCCAAAATCATCTACCGCAAACACCGTTTACGATCGGTCTGTCGACTGTGCGCATGTGCGAGCTTGCTACAAACCTCGAGAAAAGCCCATCGTACTCCATGGGCGTACATCTCAGTTATTTTGTACCATCACGTGCTGTATATCTTTATACTTTAAGCCGTTTTGTTTTTAATAAATTCAACATGGTGAACTGCAAACTTTGTAAGTCGTGGAATGGAACTAAACAATCTGTGAAAGACAGACTTAGTTTCCATAAGTAAGTAATAAATGTATAACTTGAGTAACTTTGCCCGCCACTGTTTAGCGATTCTCTCGAAACTGGGGGCGTGGTGTAGTCGAGCGCGTATTCCAAACACCGTCATAAACGGTGTCTAGATTTCGGACGATCGGTGCCACATTTTTCGACCGTACTATCCCTCCGTTCTTATTCTACCCTCCTCGCTCCAAACAGATTTTCGAAGGTTAACGAGAACAAGAACAGCTCTAAGTTATTATTGTATTACACTATTTGATGTACTTCCAGCGTCAGTAACAGTTACCTGAAAATGTATTTTGTAAAGTTGTCAAACAAATATTAATTAATACTGTTTTCTATTCTGTATCATAGTTTATTAAATTTAAGTTTACAGACATGTGAAAAACTCTTTGTAATTATTACCACGAAAAATACATTATTCTTATTATTATATTATAGGTATAAAATTCACTCTCTGCATTATAATTTAATGTATAAAATAAATTACTATCTATTTAAACTATCTTAATCTATTTCCATATCTTCAGGATGTATTCTGGTATACCATTTGTACTTTTTATACCGTAAACAAACTTGTGCTCCTAGGTCTGGCACAGTTTTGAAAATTCGTAAAAACTCATTCAAAGCTTTGCTGGCTGCCAAGTCGCCGCATGACGGCTCAGTAACTACTTCTATCAGCATACCTGCAAAGAGGTGAGTCGGACTACGCTTCAGCATACTCAAGTAAAATTCATTTTTTGCAGCACCATTTTTTGCAAAAAATGACAAGTTAGAATCCATTTCCCTTGCAAATATGCGACTCACATGCGTTCCATATAGTAAAAATACATCTGTATAGTACGATACAAGTCTCTCCGAAAGCTCTTCAACATCCCATTTACTTTTTTCCAGTTTGCGATGTAAGAAATAGATTTTAATTAATTCTGTGAAATCTACCACCTGCGAACATTTACTTTCAAAGTAATCGACAAACTTGTCCATGTACGGTAAATTTTCCATCGTTGATCTCATAACTTCAGGATACCAACTATAAAAAAAATCAAACTTTTGTTTTTTACTGTTGCACTGGTCGACAATGGAGAGTATTTTCTCAAGAATAAATTTCTTTTCGTCCTGGCTACTGTAAAAGATGAACATAAATGGATGTATATTGTTCAGCTCTCTGCTTCCCTTCTCTGTCATAAAGTGCTGTTCAATAATTTGCATGCCCACTTCTAATGATATTTCCTTAGCTACTGCCAAATTCACATAGCCAAGGAGGTTTTCTTTTAAGGGTCGCAATTTTTCCCACACAGTCACGGTTTTTTCTAGGTGGTTCCATGCGCATAGGATATACTGGGCCTTATACTTCTGAGGCATTTTAATCAAATGTCGGGTTATACCGTACAAAGATTCTTCGTCAGCTTGGGTAATAAACAGCATATTCAGCTTAACTAACTCGAATATTGAATCGCTTGGACTTTTTACAAAGTATTGGATTGTACTTAAAAACATATACTTCTGAAGCGATTGTACTTCTTCTTGCTTACTTAACAATCTAAGCATATGTTCAACTTTCGACGAAGTAGTTAGTTCACATGTCATGTATAAAGCATGCTTTCGTACTGATACGGCTTTATTCGCTAAGTAATTCAAATACTGAGGAAGTGCGTTCTCCGGTGTTCGATATAGCAAACTGTAAAGTGATCTCATAGCATATTTAAAATAATCACCAGCACAGTAGTTCAACAATGAAGGAAGCAGCTCGTAATATTTTGTGTTTTTAAAATGCGTAGCTACCGCACACTGCAAAGTATAGCGCCTGACTTCCTTTTCGTTTTGTAGGTCTAGTTTTTTGTTCTCAGGTTTATATGAATCTGCTAATGCCGCGTAATCTCCAGGTTTCATTAAAACAGACAAAGAAGGTACAAAATTTGGTTTCATTTCAGTGCTTTCCTCATCACTTAGCGTTGCTAAACTTAATTGAATTGATTTTTCATCCAGGTGCAAGTGACTAAACTTTTTAATCTGTCTCCAGAAGTGCAAATTGGGTATTTCGGTCAACTTTTTAAAAACGACATCAAAATGGGTAAGAATAGTAAGAGGTTCGTATTTTAAAAACCACCAAATATCAGTTAACTGTATTAACGCGTCATGGCGCTCCCAATAGATTTGCATATATTCATTTCTGTCAGTATTTTCTTCTGTGGTAAAAATTTTATTGCGGAACACACGAAATACGGTAGGATAATTCAACGGACGTCCGTTCCTAATAATATAATTAAACGCAGAAAGTAATACTGGAAAATCATAAAATGATAACTGATCAAGTTTGTAGGTATTACTCCAACTATTTATCTCACAAATTAACTTATAGTTAAAAGTTACATGATCATTATTATTGCTTTGTTGAGCCATATTATTTATAGCGAAAAGCAAGAAATATTTCCCAAACCGTTCATCGTAATTTCTGTATATGGGGAACTCAGTGTTACTAGTGAAGTATTCTTTAATTAACTCATCAATCACGTCGCCCTTTTTGAACAAAAACTCCAAATAAGACAGTTTCTGGTAAACAGAAGTTCCCAAATTAAAACTAACTAAAGGCATTTTTTGTATTTTTTCGTACGTGGATTGACGAGTATCAAATTTCAACATGTGAATGGTCAACAATTCATTTAACGTAGTCCACATCTCTTCAGTGAATTCTTTAAAACCAAAAAGATTTTCAATATTATTTATAAACTGCAAATGTACATTTAGTTCGTCATTTTTGTGTCTAAAACAAAAATATTTCATAACTTTAAATAGAGCGCCTATGTCTTTGTTAATATGACACGTTTCAATTAAATGTGTTACTAATTTACCCCTTTCATAAATATCTGACGTTACATTAATTATTTCTTTGATTAATCGAACAGAATCTTCAATAAGTAAGTACCTGAGGTACTCATCGCGGCCAATGTCTACTAGAACTTTTGCTAAAACTGCCCGTTCCACGTTGTCAGGTATTAGTTTTAGAAGTTCCTCGCTAATTAAGTTAGGATAATCAGCTAATTTTATCTTGTAGTGTTCCTGAAAGATTGTTACAAATAAACTGTAATGGTACTTTTTGGGGAAACTTCGAAATAGCCAATTGTTATTAAGGCAATGTGACACTTGAGCAGGAAGGGCATTTTTAAAAAGCAGCACAGAATCTTTACCAATTTTTCTTAAAACGGCTTTCATGTTTATGTGCTCAAAGTTATAAGGATTCTTGACTATGTCATCTTTTTTAACCATTACAAGCTTTTTTGTAGCTCTTCGACCAAGGCGTATGGATATATGATACTTATCATTTAGAACATCAAACAAGGCACGATCATTACTATAAATAAACTTTATCAGATTTGAATATCCATGCAAAGACGTTCTAGTAGCAGTAAAGTAAAAATCAATGAGCTGCGGATCCTTTGAATGCAAAATTTTCAACTGTGTTGATGTTAATTTAATAGGATACTCAAGTAAAATTTGCCTTACTTTTGCAGGACCACACCCAGTAATAAACTGTGACGCCAAAAACATTCCATATCGATTAACAAGACCATCATAAATTTCATCAAACTTTTCACTCTGTGAAAATTTACTCAACTTCCTCAGTACTTTCATACGAACCGAAAATGACATGCATGGTAAAATTTCATTTACCAGTTGATCTGCTGGAGTATCCACAAGCACTTCTTTAAAAAACCAATCTTGCTTCGCTATTTTGCTGACAAAAACATCGTTTCCCTCTTTCAATAAAGGCAGTAATTCTTGTGATCTTCGAAAATAAATTAGAAAATTCAGTCTGAATGTGCTCTCCAGGTAAGTTTGAGGATTTAAATTTGACGTAATGGCATCCAGTGCTTTTACATTGTCCTTCACTAATGGTGCAATCTCATGCAACAATTTGAAAAAGTTTTTCTGCCTGGCTGCAATGGTTGTGCCTTCTATATTTTGGAACTTATTTAGGAACTGATCAACAACGGCGGCCATTATTTTATGTCTGAAAAAAAGATTTATAAGCTTACTTTGAATTAGAATTTAGGAGTGGTAAACTACCAATGCTGCAAATGTTAAGAGGACTTAATGGTTGCTACCACTCTATGCATTAGCAGGATACATGGCAAGATAAAAAAATGGCTGTATTTTATCAAAGATGTTGGGGACACCGCCACCACTTAACACCATAACTTTTGTACTAGTGCATCACAAAACGGTGTTCCAGGCTTGGGGTTTACTGGCACAAAACTGTCGATGACAAGTATATAAAAATATGTACTGTGTATGTGTAAATATTATTATTAGATTATCTATACTTTGTATTTAAATATCGTGCAAATGCGTAATTACTCTTGCACAGATCGTGAAGGCACAGTGAAAATTACCAGCTGTGGTTATCCAGCGACCCACAGCGACCCCAGCGACTATTTTTTCACAGAGTTGCCATATCTACCGAATTTTGGATACATCTATTATACTGAAAAATCAAGTGTGAATCTCTGGGTAAACCTAAAAATGTTTCATGTATATTTTAAACATAATGGGAAAATAAAACAACTATTCCCATTCTACATTCAACAACTTTTAAAACATGTGCATCTGCAACCAAATAAACACTAAAAATATATGTTGAATTAAAAGTCAAGGGATGTCCAAGGTTAGTTAATAGAGAACAGAACCCAGAACCACACAAGCGAGTATGTGGGCGAAATCTATTAAACACAAATGACTTTGAGGGATGTCTGAAAAAGGCTACAAGGTCACTTTTGTCATTACAATAATTCGTTCACCACAGGCAATCACTATTCTTTAGCGCTCCGCAAGCATTATACGCCAGATAAATCGAAAAAGAAATGAGTCAAAGTTGCCCATGCACGAAAAGCCGTTTGTCTTAGTTTAAAATAATTTTTACTCTCTACTTTTACGTTTTCTCGACCTTTCGTGACCCTTACAAGACGAAGGAATAGGTCTCCCATTTCCGTCTGTCTGTGCGTCTGCCTGCCGTCCCGGATTTTTATTATACAGATAATCTCCGAAAGTACTGGACCGATTGTTGTGAAATTTTATATTTATATTAGGAATATCATGTAGATGGTAAAAGGCTAACCAAAATTGGTTAGCGTTCCCACCAGGGGAACGTGCTCGAGTCGGGGAAAGATTCGCCAAGATTTTTTTTAGAACAATCATCTAATGACGGCGGGATCATCCTTCGGTACTTGAGGCATTACGACGACGAATACGAATTTCGTGCTTTATTAACGTCGATTTGTCAAACAACTTGAACTTTTTGGTAAAAGTCTAAGCAATTATCCCCTACAAACATTGGTGACATGGGCCCTGATCACATTTCAAATTACTTATATAAGCAAACAAGGAGTCCCCGAGATTCTTTCAAACTACTTCAAAAACCAGACACAAGTGGTCCTAAGATTCTCTCAAACTACATCAAAAACAAAACTCAAGGTGTCCCCGAAATTCTTTCAAACTACTTTAAAAATCAGAGACATGGAGTCTCCGAGATTCTTTCAAACAACTTCAAAAAGAAACGAACGGGGTCCCGGAGATACTTCAAACTACTTCAAAAACCAGACACAAGAGGCCTCCGAGTTTCTTTCAAACAACTTCAAAAACGAAGCACAAAGACTAATAAAAAACAAAACAAAGGAATCCTTGAGATTCTTTTAACTACTTCAAAAATATAATAAAAAGGGTCCCGAGATTTTTCCAAATTACTTAAAAAAAAAACAAAAGGTGTCGCCCTACCTCAAAAGCAAAAGCCAAGAGGTTCCCGAAATTATTTCAAATTACATAGTTCAAAAACAAAGCCCACATTGTATATCCTCAAATTTTTTTCAAACTACTTCAAAAATAAAACCCAAGTGGTCCCCAAGATCTTTTGAAATTACTCCATAAACAAGGCAAGGGATCCCCAATATTCTTTCAAATTACTTCAAAAATAGAACAAAAGGGGTCCCCAAAATTCTTTCAAACAACTTCACAAACCAAGCACAAAGGGTCCCCAAGATTCTTCCAAACCAATTAATCATATTTGATTTTACGATTTTTGTTTTGTGATAACATCTTTCGACTTTTCAGTTTCTCGATTTTTCAGTTTTTCGATTTCTCAATTTACCGGTGTTTCAATTTCGAGATTTTCAATTTTTGGCGTGTTCAAGAATTTTCTTCGATTTTTCAATTTTTCTATACTTTCATTTTGGGATTATTCATTATTTCAATTTAATTTTTCGGTTTCACGATTTTTTACTTTTTCTATTGTTCAATTTTTCTATATTTCAATTTTGGGAGGAGGAGGAGAAATGGAAAAATCGAATCGAAATATAGAAAAATCCCAAAACTTAAATATGTATCGAAAAATGAAAAATCCAAGAAAATTGAGAAATCACCAATAATGTGATAACGTCACTTCAAAATTGTACATAGTAAGTTGGTTTTAAATCGTATAAAATAACATAGTCCTACACATGCAGTTTATGACTCCGAATTGAGCTTTTACCCGAAACGTCCAGATTTTTGAAAAAAAAAATCAAAAAAAAAGAAACAACATTTTGCAATTTAATTTGGAATCTGCAAAACCGAATGCTCTGAAATCTTGCAGATCGTTTACAGTTATGATAAGCATGATACATTTTTAATCAAAATATATTTACTTATTCCCTCTAAAAAATTGATGACGTCACCCCAAAATTTTGTTGAATAAATCCTATCAAAAATGTAATAAATTATGATGAGTCTGTATTTGTGATTCATCATTCCATTCATATTGTTTGGTTTTGCATATACAGGGTGATTAAAAAAAAAAATGAATGCGTGGATTTATTTTATTGATTTAATCAGGAACTACAAAACCGAATGCTTTGAAATCTTGGAGATATTTTAAAGTTATCATAGGCATGGTAAATTTTTTATCAAAATTGATCGGCAAAAACAACCGGCCACCCTGAAAAATTTCTCAAAACCAGTTTAAAAATTATTCATTTAACCAGTGATCGTTATTTTATTAAAGAACCATTCACTATTAACACATGATCTACAAATTAGCATAAAAAAGAAGACAAATAAACGCAGAATTAAATTTAATTTAACAAAATAACAGAACCATACTAAGTACGCTATTTTCTTAGTTAAAACTATAAAGGAGGCCGTTGTTGCAAACAGTGTTTTTCGTCATTTGTTTATAAGTTTGGCAGTTAACAAGCGTTTTCACGCGAAAACAATGCTGTTAACTCTTACAGACGTCTCTTAAATTGTTGCTCTGTTTCTGTTATTTTGTTAAATTAAATTTAATTCTGCGTTTATTTGCCTTCTTTTTTTTTGCTAATTTATACATAATTTATCAATAGTGAATGATTCTTTAATAAAATAATGATCACTAGTTAAATTAATATTTTTTTAAGTTTGGTTTTGCGAAATTTTCCAGGGTGGCCGGTTTTTTTTGCCGGTCAGTGTATTTTCTGATGCCCCCTGAAAAGATTGATGACGCCACCCCAAAATTTTGCTGAATAAATCCTATCTATAATGTACAAAATATGATAAGTCTGTACTTGTGATTCATCATTCCATTCAAATTTTTTGGATTTGCATATACGAAATGACTCAAAAAAATTAATGAATGAATTTATTTTAATCAGGACTGCAAAATTGAATGCTTTCAAATCTCGAAGATGTTTTAAAGTTTTCATAAGCATGGTAATTTTTTGATCAAAATGTATTTGCTCATCCCTCCTAAAAAATTGATGACACCACACCATAAAAAATCCAAGTTGATATACGTGTCCTTGCAAAAATGTTGATGACGTCATCACAAAATTGTGCAAAGAAAAAACTCAATTCGAAAATGCTGTTTATTAAACGTCCCATGTGAAAATTTAAAAATTCAAAATTTAGCCTTGGCTGTGATCGTCTAACAAAATGGAACCCTACGTTGTGTTTTTGAAAAATGGCGGGATGCGTTCAGATGCAAATGGTAGACCCCAAGGTTGGAAAAGTGCCGCTAAATAAAACACAAAATTTATGGAGGACACAAAATTATTTATTCCTCCACTGACAAAAAAAAAATAAAATAATAAAAAACAGCTGCGTGCGGGGGTAATCAAATTAAACCTTCTAAAGCAATGCAAATATTTGAATTACACATTTAATGAAAACAAATAAAAATCTGAATTAAAGTAACTGGATGCAAATACACAAGTTATTATTACAGACGTGTGGCGGCAAATTTAAAATTATGGCAATCAACAAGAGCACAACAAAAATACCCATGGGTTCTAGCACAAGTGGAGTTTTGGGGCTACCGGTTGTGGCTGTTCTCCCCGCGACGGTGATTCTATCTATCGCAAGCCTACCGCAAAGCAAATCTCTATTACAGACTAGCCGTACGTGCAGGTCGTCACGGTCGCAAACTCGCAGTTGGGTCCCCGCTAAGTACAGACGCCGACAGTGTTACGTCATCTCGACCGCCCCTGAATTCTATTCTAATCTGCATCTTTTGTACACTTGGCGCGATAAATCCCGCCAACGTATTTCGGTGTTATTTACCTCAATTCCACTTTAAATGTTCAATTTCTATGACTCTGATATTAACGACAATTGAACAAGTGTTAAAGTTTCAAAAAGAGAAATAAACAACATTTAAATTCGCCATACAATCTTGTGAAATTTTAAACAAGAAATATTCTTATTTGAGATTAAGATTGAACATCACATAATTTATATGATGGAAAGGAAACATTCATCAACAAAATATTTACACAAAAATAAACTAGCAAAGATTTATGAAAACAAAAGATCTGGTGCGAAATAAACTTGGTCAAATAAAAATATTACGCGAGGTTAAAACTGTAAAGCATGGAAATTTACGTTCAATTAAAATTATACAACAAAGAAAATTATTGAAGTTAAAATTGTGAGATAGAGAAAAATTGTATGAGGTGAAAATTGCAAAGCTAACAAATTTAGAATTTAGATGATGCTAAATTATGCCATTATCCAAGTTATTGGTTACTTAAAACAATTAGCTTTGAAAGTTTATATCGTGGACTGTCCCAGGTTATCCCAAACGAAACACACGTGATAAATAAACACAAAATGCATCCAGCGTTGCGAGAAATGCTTGTCGGTTGTGTAATTTCCAACGTCGCGATGATGTGATGATGATAACAATGATAATTGTCTAAGGGGAAAAGTTTAGTCCCCCCGAACGATATTATGCATTCTACCGGACTTTCACGGTCCTTTTCCCAGAGTGGGACAACGTTAGGCTAATTTAACTAACGTAATGAACTATTAGCAATCTTGTGTGAGAAATTAAGAAGTGTTATAATGTAACATTTAAGTGTAAGCATCTAGAAAGCTTATTCTAATTTGTTAAACAAAGGATGAGTCCTGACTAAGTGAATTTCATGAAATTTCCTAGCAACTAGCAAGTGGTTTGTCTATTACATTGTGTTAGAACCAGTAACGATTAAAATCCTAACATGAACTGTGAATTTACAAACAATAGATCAAATTTACAGCAC